GTGGCAGGGCACCTGCCAGTCGATGGCACGTAGCAGAGCTGCCTCCAAGCCCTCTCTGGGCTCATCGCAGATGCAAGATGCTGGCCCGACCTTGGGATGCCCCAGGTTCTGGCAGCTTTGGGCTTTCTTCTGGCCAAGACGATGACGTCTCACATCTCGCTGTCGTTTGCCTCAGCCTCTGGACCCGTATCTGTTCGGGAGGAGATAACCATATCCATTCCTCAGGAGCTTTCTGAGGGCTACGGAGGAACGAAATCATCATAAAAACCTTGTGTTTAAAAGGGCTGGGGCAGAAAAGCTGGGGGAAAGAGCTTAACTTACGTCATCGTCCTGTAATTTTGCAGGACATTTCCTGGGAAGAAACGTACAGCGCAACGAATGTGCAGCCTCGCACTTGCAGATGATCTCGGGTCATTGGGATTTTCGGGTATTTTCTGGACACTTTGGATCAAGACTCCTGGCCGTCGTCTTTTACCTGTATTGGCATTTCAGCTTGCTCAAAGTACGCTCCTTCTCAGACCGTTACACAAACACGTTATTAACTTTCTTTAAGACCAAATACTTCAGTTTGGTGCTCAGCTTCGTAGCTCGTTCCTCTCATGCTCCCTCACAGTTTCACCCATTCCCTTCTTCATCTCTGGTCACCTTTGCTGACCCACCAGACTGGGATCTCTCCATGTGCCCTCTAGTCGGAAATGTGTGAACATATTGATAAATCCTTCCCATCCACATGCCTACAGAGACTCCAGCCACTCATTCACTTTCAGTTCTTCGCACACCAGGTGCACAGCAGTGTCCCCAGTTTGAGGTTTTTTAGGACAATGTTGCACGAGGGTTTCAATAATGGTTCTTTGCTCTCTTCCCCAGGTCAACATGGATTTGTGGTTCTTTCTCCTTTTGCTTGGAAGCGGCCTGATAAGCGTAGGTGCTAACAACGTTACAACAGGTAAACTATGCTCACGGTCTCCTCTTTTTTGTCCCCAAACCATCTTTAGGATCAAAGGAGTAAGTGCTCATGTGCTCAATGACTTTATTCTTTCTACTCTCCGCTTAACTGTAATCTGAAGTGTCAGAAAGAGGGTGAGGAGCTGCAGATGCTCAAAAATTATAGAATTGTAGAACTGTAGAATCACAGAATCATAGGACCGTAGAATCATAGAACCATAGAATTATAGAATCATAGAATTATGGAACCATAGAATCATAGAACCAGAGAATCACAGAACCATAGAATTTTAGAATCGTAGAATCATAGAACCAAAGAATCGTAGAATCATGGAATCATGGAATGTGTTGGGCTGGAAGGGACCTTTAAAGGTCATCTAGTCCAACCTCCCTGCAGTGAGCAGAGACATCTTTAACTAGATCAGGTTGGTCAGAGCCCCATCAAGCCTGACCTTGAATGTCATCAAGGATGGAGCCTCCACGACCTCTCTGGGCAACCTGTGTCAGGGTTTCACCACTCTCATTGTAAAGAATGGGACCTGCAAGTGTTACCTCTAGCAAATATTAATCCACTCTTGCAGGAGCTCTGACTTTTGCACCTCCTTGATATTGTAATACTTGTTCATGTTACCTGCTTTCATAAGGTTTTCCTCATCGTGCTGTGCAAAGTTCCCTGTCCCGGACTCGGGATGTTTTGGTCAAATCATCCTTATAGTTATACTCACAAAAATGTCCAACATCTAAGCCCACCTGTGTGGCAGAAAGGTTCCTCATGGAGGTCCCCTCCTGCTTTCTCCTTTCGCAGAGCCACCCACAACAGTGCCCACCTCCCCCAGGAGCCCCACCAAAGCTCCTACAGCAGGTCCTGACCATGGGGCGACGACGAGCGCGAGCAGCCTCAACCTTAGCACTCCAGTGACTGTTTCTACCGTGGCGTCAAAGCCGCCCGCAACCACAGCCGCCAGCGTCTCCCCCAACACCACCACCGTCAGCCTCAACGCCTCCACCCTGGGGTCAACCGTGCCCATGCCTCCGGCCACCTCCCTGCCACCCAGCGTGACGCCGTCGGCTCCGCACGCCGCTCTCCCCAGCACCGAAGCGGAGACGACGGAGAGGAATTTCAGTGCGACGGCGACGACGCAAGAGACCTCTTCTGCTTCCCACAACGGTAGGCATCTCTTTCACCTCTTTCTTCTCCAGGCCTCCAGGTTTTTCTCTTTGCCCTCCTTTGGCTGAACGAAAGGGGATGAGAAGACACTTTGGGGCAAATCTCAATGGTGCTGTGAAAGAATATGACTCCCTGAACGGACCAGATCGGTAGAGATTTATCCTACTGAAGGTTTAGGCTTCGTGCCAACACGCTGGGGCACCAGAAGCCCTGGGATCTCGTTCCACTTTTGTCGCAGATGAATTTCATCACTTTTTGTGGTTTCCGGAGTGTGAAACGGAGCTAGTGCTGCACAGCTCTAGTTGAGCCGTAACGGCTCTGTGTAGACAACAGCAATGAATCACTCCAGGTTGCCGCTCAGCTGCAGAGCTTGGGTTATCCACAGCGTTGCTACGTTTTTTGGGGGTTTTTGTAGCCAGAGTGGGCTCAAGCCATGTTTTCTGGCACTGTACAAGCACACACACAGCAAGACAGTCCCTGTCCCAACCCATTTGGTCATTCTACACTTGCATTCTCACTTTTTCCCCGTTACTTGGGCTGCTTTAATCTTTAAAAGGTCTCAGTGCGCAAGAGTTGCTTTTCTTGCCACCCTGCTGTCAGTCTTCTCTGGGCACATCATAAAAGTGGCCCCTAAGAATGTAATTTGGTTGCTTAGTGTAGGTTAAGAACAAAAAACAAGCAAAAAGAGGCTGAGGCAACCAGAAATCTTAGTTGACTCTTCAGCCGTGGTTGGCCCGTTGCTGCATCATTTGAGACCCAGCTTTACTGCCACGTGCCTCTGAGTTGCAGCAGTTACACGGCAGTGCCTGCTGGACCTTGTGGTGAAAGCCTTGGCAGTGCAGGATTTAGTGGAAAAGCAGTGGTGGGGGGGGGGGGGGGTGGAAAAGACTGGAAGAAGATAATCCTGGAGTTAACACGAGGAGTTGTCAAACCTACGTTCCTTAAGAATAAGTTTCTCAAGGGATATTGGGCGTTGGGTATCTAAACCCTTCCGCACGCTGGGGAGATGCGTGTGCCCTCTTCCTCTGAGCACCTTTGGAAACCACAGCCTGTGAAGCTGCTGCCAACTTTGCTACCAACGTGGAAGGGGATGTGACTGAAGGAAATTTGCCACTCGACTTTTGTAGTGTCCTCTCCTCCCCAGGCTCGTCCAGCTTCCCTTCAAACACAAATCCTTGAGGCTTTTTTGCAGAGTGAAGGAGTCCTGAGTAACCTTAGACACGGTGCAAGCTTAGAGGGAACGTAGCTTTCAAGTGGGAGTGATGGAAGCGAAAGCCTTGAGATCCTAAGATCTGGATTTTCTAATACTATATCTGCTGGCGAGTGACTGAATTTGTCATTTTTACGCCTTTGCTGCTTTTATGGGTTACTGGTTTTGGTGAACTCCCTCGGTGTATTATGCTATGGTCGTTGCACCACCAAGACCAGATGTGGCTTCTCACTTGACGTCAATCCCGAGCACAAATGAGCAAACCTGCTCCTTTCCTTATTTCCAGCAATTTGTCAAGGAGCAAGATTAGTTTTAGGGCTGCCCTTGCCATTAATCTTAACGGGACGTTTGGCTATCAGTCGGGGAAGAATTAAGCAGCGCTCAGGAGAGGAGCAGAGGCAGAAGATACTGCGTCAAGTCCGTGTTATTCGTCTCCTCCTTCTCCAAACCTACCGAACTCATCCTCAGCTGCAGCTCTTCACACGGCCAACGTCCTGGGCGTCGCGGTGGGAGAGACGGGCTTTGCTCTTCTTGTTTCTCCTGCCTTCCTCCAGATGAGACCTGCAAGCGGGCGGGCACAGGCTTCCCTTGGGTGCTCGCCGGCCCCCTCCCTCGTCCCAGCTGCTCTTATTTGAACTCCTGGCTCAGCCTCATTTCTAAAATCATGCTTGAGCATTCTCTTAACGTTTAAGCGCTCATGAATTACACCAGTAACTGGCTGGTTAAAGGCTTAAACAGACAGCGTTAGCGGTGCAGAGCAGGAGGTTGTGTTTGTCGAGGCTCGGCTTCAGCTCCCTTCTCTGCCGAGAAAAAGTTCCTTTTTTGTTCCTTTGCCCTTGTTACTGAGTGAAGGCTGAAATCCATTTTGGCAATCCTGGCTTCGGAGATGCTGTTTTAAAGGAAAGGTTTACAAAGAAGACGACAAGAGTTACGAAATTTGTTACCATCTTGGTCTTTGATCCTTCCTGACTTATTAAAATTTATACATATATATATATATCTTTGTTGCTAAGAGACTTCTGTTTTCTTTTTCTGCAGGTAACTCTGACAGAAGAGGTAAGAATTTTATATTTTATTATATTTCTTTAGTCAAGCCCTCAGTAAAATCATTTCTACAAGTATTCTGCTATTAGATAGCTCTCCTTCACAATGCACTTCCAAAATTGCCTTTGCAAAGCCTTCAGACTCTTTAGAAGAGCCGATGACACGCCAATATCTTCATTAGTGTTGGACTCTTCTCTTTAGAAATCTCGTACTAGTACAGAATCACAGAACCACAGAACAATACAAAGAGTTCCTGTTCTCCAAAAAATCCCAACGTTACCATCCCCAGACCAAAGTCTACGAAGCCATTCAGGAAATTCACTTCCAATTCTTTTCGCTTATGAATTATCTTTATTGACTGTGACTTACCTTACTTGACCCGGACCCAACTGATGTCAGTAATTATTATTATTCTGTTTAATTCAGCTGGCGAGCAGTAGCACACATCCATTTCTTGCAACGTAATAGCACTCAGGCGCATTTTTGCCGTTTCTTCCTTCCGAGAACTGGCGTCGCTGCCAGAGTATTTGCAATTACTCCTCGCTTTAGCTGTACAAGAGCGGGCAAGTGCAGGCAGTCTGGCTTCTGCCTATAGAAACGAGCTTCCTCCCTGTGTTTTGCTACTCTGATTTCAGTTTGATTTTGTGATCTCTCTGCCAGTGTTCATCCCTGCTCTGGAAAGCTAAGAAGTGAAAAACAGGGGAAAAAAATCTCTCATAGCGATATTAACAGCGATGCTAATAAAATAATTAGTGTTTTCCAAGTCCTGTGGCTTGGAGGATTATTCTAGGGTTATTCTTGGCTCCCTGGCACCAAGGAGCAGCACTGGGAGCAAAACGGGGACAGCAAAAGGTGTAGAGGATGCTGGTGACATTAACCCATGGTAGAACTTGGCTTGGATTGTGGTGGGGATGTGTTCTCTTCCTAGTGACTCTAAAGGGACTGATTCTGTCTCTGCAGGTCATTTTTATTCCTACTTTAAGATGGTGGAGTTGCAGTCAGCGCCTCTGCTCTGATTTATCCCAGAAAAAAATAATTTGGTCATTTCTGGATGTGTAAAGGACAGAGAAAAAGAATTGACTTGATTTATTCTTGCGTCTAGATGCGGGATCAGTTAGACCTGGGATTAGCTAACATGGACTTTCCTGATCTAAGTACATCTTTCCCAAATTATACCCCCTGACCATTATAACATATACCACGGCACGTCTAAACTGTGTCGCGTCGTACTTAGAGTATATCACATCGCGGAGAGAACCGATGCAGGTTAGAGCAAGAGCCAACCTCCCCTCAGCTGATGTGGCTTTTCCATCCGAAAGGTGAGTCTCCACTAGATTAAAGGGGCTTTGCCACTGAAACCTTTCAAGGTTTAAGGTTTTAGACAGACCCAGGAAGCTGCAGCAGATTAAATCCAAGAGCATTGAGTTCTGCAGGGCTAACCAGCGCAGGAGAAGCTCTACTTGGAGCTGACGGCCACTGAGCTTGTGCTGGAGTTTTTCAGGAGGATTTTGAGCCATGGGAACACGCGTCTCATCTCATTCTGGGCGTGCAGCCCCTGGGAATCGCTGAAAGATTTTTAATCTCTAACATTGGGAAGAGGAGAAACAGGTAGTTTTCTTGTCAGGAAAGTCACAGTAATAACCTCTACAACGAACTTGCAAAAGCAAAAGCCTTCCTAACAAAGCGTTGGTTCAGGGTTATATTGAAGACAGAGAGCAGAGAAGTGATTTATATCCAAATTAGTGAAAACCTCATGCCTCTTACTGCTTGCACTCATAGTATCCTGTGAAACCGCATCCTGTGTCCTGGGGGATTTATTTAAGGAATACTGACCCTACACTTTTCCTTCTCTTCCTTCCACCTCCATATTTTTTTCCCTGCGTGACCCCGTAGTTTCTTGTCTGCTTGACTGGACTCACGTTTCGCAGACGGGCGATGACAGCGAGGAGCAAGGAGGGTGGCTCAGCCCTGTCTCTCCCGGCCAGGCAGCTGCACCCGGGTCTGCATGATGTGTAGGGGATGTATAGCCTGTAGGTGTGTAGCCTATAGATGTGTAGCCTATAGACTGCTGTGTAGCACATGAACCTACACTTGCAGACACCAGAAGATGGTTTGCTGACTCTTCAGAGGTGCCAGGACAAGATTTAAGGCTCTGGACTGCGTTTGGGTGCTTCAACACCTCAAGTCTGTGGAAGCAGAAGGTTGAGTCATAGAATCACGGAATCGTTAAGATTGAAAAAGACCTTTAAGTTCATCAAGTCCAACCACCTACCTAACGCCACCATGACCACTAAACCATGTCACAAACTGCCACGTCTACACATTTCTGAACACCTCCAGGGATGGTGACTCCACCACTTCCCTTTTTCTTACAGAAAATCCCCTGGGGCCGAGGCTGGGAGCTGCGGGGGGAGGTTGACACCTCTCACCAGGGCTGACTGGGGAAGGAGAAACCATCTGGGGACCCACCAGCTCATTTCCTGCCTGCGCTTTGCTGGTGGGATGGGCTGCACGCCGACGGTTAGCAGCCGCAGTGGAAAAGCTCTAATTCAGTCAGCCAGATGTGTCGAAAGAACGGCTACAATAAAAAAAAATAATAAGAAAACAACCAATCTCCAACCCCACCAGGCTCCCTGCAGCGGCCCCTGCCCGGCTCAGGTCGGAGGTCTCAACGAGAAGGACGTTAGAGGCGAGGCAAGGGTTGGCTGTGGTTGGATTAAGACACTCCGTGGTCGCTTTGCCTTCCTGGGGTTGGTTTTTTGGAAAGCTTCATGGAGGCTGATGATAAAAATCTCAAGCAGGGAGAAGGCAGAAATACCTCCCAATAAATTCCTTCCCCTTTTGGTGCTAGGCTGGGGGGGATGCCGACGCATAAGGACGGAAGATGGGAAGAACACAGACGTGCAAGACGAGGAAGGTTTCATGGTTTCGTTTGCCACACCAGGTCATGGCTTCAAATGGTTACACAAAATTTGTGTCTTTCGGTTGGAATAACGTTTCCAGACTTCGCGACCACAGAGGTACAAACGCCAAAATAGAACCTGAATGCCCCTTAAGTGCTCAGCGGTCAAGAAATGGGCAAAATGAAACGCACCTAAGATCTGCCGACCGAAGCTTCTGAGACACGCGGAGCAGGAATCTACGCTGGCAGAGAAATGGATGCGCAGAAGGTGGAAGGAGGGGGGTCATGCCCTGCAGTCTTGGGGGGCTGAGGCACGACACAGTGGCCCGTACAGATGCAGAATGAAAATAGCCCCAGCTGGCATCGCTGGCGTCCACGTTCATCCAAAAAAATAAAAGCCCTTGGGGGCCATTCACTTCTCTGGTTAGCGTTGCTAGACTTCCAGCCCCAGCTGGGAAATTTGCTTGCGTCGACCGCTCTTTTCGCTGACCAAGCGGCAAAGAGCTTATTTTAAAAAAAAAAAATAAAAAAAATCTGTTGTGAGTGGCAGAGGATGTTCAGATGTGCCCAATCTAAGCGGGCGTGCAAGGGAATTGTGTGGTGCTTGCCCTCGAGAACCATCTGTGAGGGAGCGCCCAACGGAGCAACCCAAATCAGTTCATGCTCGGTGGCCGCGCGGAGCAAAACGTGCTCGTTGGGTTGTCTTTACATCATCTCCTCCCTAACCTCAGCGTTCCCAAGGAGGGAAGAAGTCCCCACAGGAGCCACCTCTGCGATAAGGAGCTCAGCAGCCCCGCACCTCTGCAGCAAATCTCAGCCTGAAGGTGCTCGGAGCTGGGTTCAGCCTGAAGTCCTCTCGTCCTGTTGGACAAGGAAACAAGGAAAGTCGTGATGGTTTTATGAATGTTGTGTCTATGGGCTCTAACAAAGGCTGCAGTTTTCACCGAATTTTAGTTTGAGATTCCTTATTCCTAGACCTGTTCAGAAATTTCTCCTGTGGATCCTTACATCTCGAGCAGAAGAGCTGGTAGGTCCCCGGGTGATAGAACAGGACCTTCTACTGGTGGCTGCTGGGCCACCATGGGCATGTTCAATTGTGCAGAAGAAACCCCTAAGTTAGACCGCTCCCAACTTTCTCAGCTGCCGTTTGCACCCACAAGGTCACAATTTCGGAGGGAACAACTCTTAAGAGAAGATTGAGCTGCTTTGAATAGTGTTTTTAATCTAACCTTGGAGCATCTGAGTTACGTGGTGCTCGCTCAGGTCTGTCTTTGCTGTCACGCTGCAGAAACGTAGCCTTGCTCAATAGTGTTATTATTTTATTTTTTTCAATTATTTTTATTCATTTGCATGCAGAAACCGTAGAGCTCTTCCCCATTAAGTGAGGGCACTGGGTGTTTTTTCGGTGTTGATAACCACACTTTTCTTTTCCTGTTGGCAGATGAGACTCCGATTATAGCTGTGATGGTGGCCCTGTCTTCCCTTCTAGTCATAGTATTTATTATTATTGTGCTGTACATGTTAAGGTAAGAGGTGCTTTAATGCTGACTTCCCTTGTTTGACAGAAAAGAATTACTGAATTAAAGGGAATAAGCCTTTTGTGGTGTTTTGGAAGCTGGAAGCTGACACAGACGCTGTTTGAAAAAGAAACCTGTAAGGATAATAAAAATGGTGTTTGGGGTTATCTAGTAAATTATGCTTATTCCTGCCTCTACAAAGCTGATCCTTTGTAGGGTAATGCCTGTTGTGCCGTGGAAAAGTGTCACATTTAGTAGGATAGATTAAAGTGTTATTGGTGCAGTTAAAAAGCAGGTAAGGGTTTCTTTCAAGGCTAAGTAATTAGGTAATCCGAGGAAGATGAACACAGCGCTCTAACACACTTTAGATCCATTTTTAAAAAAATCCAAGCATTCAGGCTGCTCAAAATGTGGCATTCCTAGCTCCTTGCTCAGCTAGAAGAGGGTATTTATTCACTTGCAGCAAACGCTTTAATTTACTTGCCAGTTTGATGGTTAAATGGGTTGCTTTGGGTTTGTTTTTTTAAAAAAAAAATTTAAAAAGGGAAAAAACGAAAAAAAAAGAACAATTTCCTGAGCGGTGGAAAATGCAGGTCTGCCCTCGCAGTGGTGAACCTGATGAGAGTTTTTGCCTCGGGAGTTCGGCGGCAGCAGTTTGAGTCCTCCCCTCTTGGCTTCCAGCCCTTAAAAAGAAAGGTTTTTTGTTCACTGCAGCCTGCCCGGTGATTCAGCAAAACCCTTAACTTCAGGCGAACGGAGCGTAAGCATCTGCTTCGAGTTAAAAGCACATGGAGAAGGGTTTTGCTGTGAAAGGCTGGATCTACCTGGGGTTTATGTGCTTTGTTGGATCAGTCTGTGGAGCAGGAACGCCTTGGGATGTCCTCCATAAAAAGAAGCTTTAAAGCTTCTCCTCCTGATTTTCTGATCCTGCAGCCTCTCCAGATGTTGTCAGTTAAAAGTTACACCCATACAGGCAGGATTTTAGAGATCTCGTAGCCTTTTGGACCCACCATGAAGCCAAGAGAAAGCGAGGAGCACTTTTCACAGCTGCATCTCTCAGCTGGAAGGTAACCTGGGCTTCTTGGTGGGTGTCTAACGATGTTCTCCACTCCCTTGTTTTCCATAGGTTCAAGAAATACAAGCAAGCAGGGAGTCATTCCAACTCCTTTCGATTGTCCAATGGCCGGACGGATGACGCAGGTGAGACCCGTTTCGGTGTGACACAGGGAGCAAAAAGGCTTCTCACAGAAGGAATAAGCTTTGTTCACATCAAAAAGGGTCAATGCAAATGTTCTTCAGAGTAACAAGGGTTACTGGAGCAGGCTGCCTGGAGAAGTTGTGGAAGCCCCCTCCCTGGAACTGTTCAAGGCCAGGCTGGAACTAGATGATCTTTAAGGTCCCTTCCAACCCAAACCATTCTATTGATCCCATGATTTTAGTGTTGTGGTTTCGCCCCCACCTTGGAATTGGCCGAAGTTAATCACAGAATTGTCAGGGTTGGAAGGGACCTTAAAGCTCATCTCGTTCCAACCCCCTGCCATGGGCAGGGCCATCCCCCACTAGATCAGGCTGCCCAGAGCCCCATCCAGCCTGGCCTGAAAAACTCCCAGGGATGGGGCTGCCACCCCCTCTCTGGGCAACCTGTGCCAGGGTCTCACCACCCTCATGGGGAAGAACTTCTTCCTCACGTCCAACCTGAACCGAACCATCTCCAGCTTCAATCTATTCCCTCTAGTCCTGTCACTGCCCGACATCCTAACAAGCCCCTCCCCAGCTTTCTTGTAGCCCCCTTGAGGCACTGGAAGCCACAATAAGGTCTCCTCAGAGCCTTCTTTTCTGCAGACTGAACAGCCCCAACTCTCTCAGTCTGTCTGCACAGGAGAGGTGCTCCAGCCCTCTGAGCATCCTCGTGGCCCTTCTCTGGACACGCTCCAGCACGTCCAGATCTTTCTTGTAGGTAGGAGCTCCAGAACTGGACATAGTACTCCAGGTGGGGTCTCATGAGAGTGAAATAACCAGCAATTCTCCTAAAAAATTATAAAAATTACAAAAAAGCATCATGAAACCCTTGAAGTGACCAAAGCAGGGTTGGTTTATGCCCTTCAGGGCAGTGCAGAGCTACCCAGGTTGATTTTCTGACCATGCAGCACCGTTCCCACAGCAATAAGACACGAACAATTTGACAGGCACGTTGCCAACGTGATGCCCAGTGGCATCGTCTACCAACCAGCTCAAAAGATGATGGGAAAACGTTCACTGAGTACTGGTTTGGGGAGCTGATTTGCTGGAAAGGTGTAAAAATGAAAATGAAGGTTGTTTTCCATCTGAATATGGTCTTGGAAGGGCGTATGAAGACGGTCCCGAGTTATTTGTATTATTCCTGGTGGGAATAACATCAATATTATACACCAGAATAAATAAATAGATAAATAAGCCAGAATAAGATGACTGCATTCACCAGAAGACAAGATTTCTGTAAAAATCCAGGAAAGGCTGTGGGTGTGGAATTGTCACAACCTGAGTCAGGTGCAATGACAACTCCTGGGGACATAGCAGGCTCTGTTCTCCCATCTCATATTTTTGCAGGAAAGTGTTTTTCCATTTACTTTTTTTTTTTCTTTTCAGTTCTGAGCTCTAGTCTGTTTTCCATCATTTTGCTAAACTTCTCTGGAGTGAAAATTTATTTTCCATCTTTCATTCTGGTGACAAAACGTTTGCCCTCAAGTGGTTAATATTAAAATAGGCCATTACTTCCAACGCCAAACTATTCACAGTTCCTCTTGAGTTTTCACAGTATCTCTTTGACTCAAATAAGAATCTTTATTGAGATATCTTTGGGAATTAATTAAATACCTTTCTACCTTTTTAAATGAGTATGGCAACTGGTTAAAACTCAGATCTTCATGCTAACCAGCATTTCTGAGAGAAAGCAGAGAATGTATTGGTATTTTCTTTATAAAAATCTTTTTGGACCTCTTAAAGGTGCATAAATGCCGTTTTGAAGCCTTGTGCAAGCCTGCTGTAATGTCTCCTGTGCCTGAGCTTGTCTCGTTTTCTGGCTTTGAAGCAGAGCTACTTTTGGAAGGTCTCAGGTTGGGCATCTCCACATGCAGGCACCAAAGAGCTGAAGAGGAACTCTCACCTCTTAAACTCAGGTTCAGATCCTTTTTTGGAACTCCTTCCACATAAACCAAACACCTCTGGAGCAAGTACTAAGTGAAAATCAGCACCTTTTTTTTTGCGTGTTGGCAGCTAAGGCCTTCCCTACCCATTTCACGTTGCTGTAAGCGAAAGCGTGAACTTCCTAAGCCATCGCTTGTGTTGGTGTAACCCTCGCGTGGCCTTTCTTGGCTTCACTGAGGAACCACAAGCCACAGCTGCTTTTGCTGGGAGTGACGTCGCAGCGATGGTGCCAGACTTTCCATGTGAGCGAGGGCAAAGTACGAATTCAAAGTGAGGTGGTCTTCATCCCCCAGTGTCGATGACTTGGTCCTCATTGCCCTGTCCTGCCTCTACAATAGCGTAGTGTTTGAGCCTAGAGCACCAGGAGTTTCACCTTGTCGCACAATCATAGAATCGCTTAGACTGGAAAAGACCTAAAAGATCGTCAAGTCCAGCCCTTAACCCAGCACTGCCAGGTCCATCACTGAACCGTGTCCCTGAGCACCACATCTCCACGGATTTTAAATACCTCCAGAGATAGGGACTCCACCACTGCCCTGGGCAGCCTGTTCCAGTGCTCGACAACCCTTCTGAGGAAGAAATTCTTCCTAATATCCAACCTAAACCTCTCCTGCTGCCACTTGAGGCCATTTCCTCTTGTCTTGTTGCTTGAGAGAAGAGACCGACCCCACCTCGCTACACTCTCCCTTTAGGTAATTGTAGAGAGTGAGAAGGTCTCCCCTCAGCCTCCTCTTCTCCAGCTGAACAACCTCAGTTCCTTCAGCTGCTCCCCATCACGCTTGTTCTCCAGACCCTTCCTCAGCTTCATTGCCCTGCTCTGGACACACTCCAGCACCTCCATGTCTTTCTTGTAGCCCAAAACTGAACACGGCTGGAGGTGCGGCCTCGCCAGTGCTGAGTACAGGGGGATAATCCCTGCCCTCTTCCTGCTGCCCACACTGTTTTTGATCCAGGCCAGGATGCTGTTGGCCTTCTTGGCCACCTGGGCACACTGCTGGGCTCATGTTCACCTGGCTGTCGACCCAACACCCCCAGATTCCACGGGGCATCTTTCCAACCACTCTTCCCCAAACCTGTAGCGCTTCCTGGGGTGGTTAGACTTGGTCCTCATTGTCCTCTCTTGCCTCACAACAACATAACTCTCCACCAGAGAGTGCTGAAAAGAGTTTCACAATCTCACAGAATCCCCACATTTTTGTGCACCGTCCATAGAAAGAGCGAAAGGCCGGGAGGTTTCAGGTTGGACGGGGCTTTGAGCAACCTGGTCTACTGGGAGGTGTCTCTGCCCGTGGCAGGAGGGTCATAGAATCGTAGAGTCATAGAAACATGGAAGTTGGAAATCATCAAGTCCAACCTATAACCCTGCTCTACAGAATCCACTCCTGAGCCATCACCCCCAACCCCACATCTCAACGACCTTCAAACACCTCCAGGGAAGGTGGCTCAACCACCTCCCTGGGCAGCCTGTGCCAATGGCTGACTACTCTTTCTGGGAAAAATTTTTTCCTAATATCTAAATCTACCCTTGTGCGGCTTGTGGCCATTCCCTCTAGTTCTACTACCAATTACCTGTGAGAAGAGACCAGCCCCAACCTCTCCACACCGTCCTCTCAGGCAGTGGCAGAGAGTGAGGAGGTCTTCCCTCAGCCTCCTCTTCTTCAAACTCAACAATCCCAGCTCCTTCCATCACTCTCCATAAGATTTATTCTCCAGGCCCTTCCCCAGCTCCGTTGCCCTCCTCTGCACTCGCTCCAGCACCTCGACATCCCTCTTGGATTGAGGTGCCCAAAACTGAACACACTACTCAAGGTGAGGGTGAGACAAGTTGGTCCTTAAGGTCCCTTCTAACCCAAACCGTGCCATGGTTCTATGAAAATATGAGGAAAATGAGGGTGTGAAGTGGCCTTAAAAGAGGACAGCCCAGGGTGTGGGAGTTCCCTGTGCCCACCTGGGTGTGGTGAGCAGCTGGGTGGGCGCCTCTGATCCGTGGATGTCGTTGCAGAGCCGCAGAGCATGCCGCTGCTCGCCCGCTCCCCCAGCACCAACCGCAAATACCCGCCTCTGCCCGTCGACAAGCTGGAAGAGGAGATCAACCGCCGCATGGCAGACGACAACAAGCTCTTTCGGGAGGAGTTCAACGTGAGTTGCCTTTGCTGCTTGCCCCTAAATCCTTGCAGGCTGCTCTCGAAGCACAGTGAGCCAAAACCTGGTCTCGCTCAGCTGGTACATCAGAAAGGAGCTGCAGTGGGGAGGCCACATCAACCTGAGGGTAACTGAGCTGATAAAATGACGGTGCTGGATGATGTGCTTCCAGAGAGCTTCTTGGAGGGAGTGATGTTCTGCCCAGTCCTTGGGGATTTCTCAAAGGGCTGCGAGGTGGGAGGAACGATTCTGTCCCCAAATCCGTTGTGAGGGTGGGCAAGTCGCTTCCCCTCACCTTCGCTACAGAAAGATTTTCTAGCAAGCAGCACCCCGGGGTTACGTTCCTCTGGGTTTGGGAGGCATCCTGGAGGTCTTGGGGTCTTGCAGAGCTTCTCTGCCTGCTGGTTTTGCCTCCCTCCTCCCGATCCTCATGGCTTAGCTCTACAAACAGCCAAAACGAGATCTCTGGCAGAGAAACAGAAATGACCTCATCAATTTCAGCGAGCTGTTAACCCTGAAGCAGAGTGATGACAATTTATAGGACAACCGTTGTCCTTCAGCAGTGAGTTAATAGTTCAGGTAGAGTGCTTATCCCACGACACCAGAGAACCTCTTCTGAGGTGGCTACAACCTCTTTTGGGTGTTGCCGAGCTCTGCGACTCCTTGTGACAATGAACCTGTTTCACTTCGGCAACGCGAAACCAGGCAGAGCCGGACTGAGGTAGGGGACAAAGTTGAAATAACTGAGTGGAATCCTGCAGCGTGTAACGTAGGAGCTGCTGAACTGCCTGGACTCTCGTCAGCCTAATTAAGAAGAGAAAACCCACTGCTGATCTGGTTGTCTGCACGGCAAAGATCTCATCACATAAAGCCTCAGATCCAAAGCAGAGTGAGGATGATGAGAAGACAAAAAGAAAAGCCACTCGACTTTCTCCAGCTGTTGCACAACTCGATACCCTTCCTGGCCGCACTTCAGTGAAACTAAATAGGTGCAACGAATGGCCAGGGAGAGGGATTTTTGGGGTTATAAATATTCGATTGCCTCAAAGACTTCCGTTGTGAAGCACGTCTGTCCTGCCAGCCAGAGGAAGGGTGGCAAATACCTCCGGTACGTTCTCATCCTCTTTGCTGTTCAACAGCTCTGCCTGAGCACCAAACCTGGCTGCCCTGACCGGGACAGCATCTCCTGTGAGCCCAGCACCCCCACAACCCAAAGGTCCCTGCTGGATGAAGAATAACTCCCTGCATGGGTGCTCCTTCCCATCACTGGGTGTGCTTGGGTACCTTCGCATCGATGTTAACGAAGGAAAGAAATCTCAGAAGGAGCCTCCACAGGCTCCTTGGTCGCTCGGGTCCGGGGTTCGGTGTCAGAGGCTTTGCTGCCACCTCGTGTTCCTGAGTCCTGAGATTTCAGATGATGACGTTTCGGAAGGGATTTGCTCTCTGTGATCCAGCCCAGGCTGTTTCAGTGGTTGCCTCCAGCTGGGTGGGGACAAGTTGCTGGTGCTGGGATGGAAGTGAGGGCTGGGGGTGGTGGGGGCACATCCCAAGGGGCAGGATGCTCGGGTGCCCCGTGAACCGACACGCAGGTTGTGTTGTGGTTACTGCTGGGAGTAAGAACATCATGGAAAAACTCCCTTTTCTGCCACGGCAGGCTCTCCCAGCATGTCCTATCCAGGCCACATGCGAAGCTGCTTCCAAGGAGGAGAACAAGGAGAAGAACAGATATGTGAACATTTTACCCTGTAGGTATCAGGGCTGGTTGGGCGGGGAAAGAGGGGGCATGGCTGGTGCTGGGGGTCACAGTCTTGGTTTTGAGGTGGGTTAAGACGTGGTTGAGGTCGTTTCGCATCCCAGGTGGGTGGCTGCATCTGCTTTAGCTTTAGATACCTACAAGGATGAGCTCCGTGGAGCTGTCAGCGGCCGTGAGGCCATGGAAAATGAAATCATTGGAAATGCTGAAACAGCCAGCTCTTGCCGGGTGGCGTGGAGCAGCAGGCTGGCTCCGGGAGCTTCCTCAAATGTGCACACTCTGCAGAAGAAAAACTTCCTTGCATGAGGTCTGGCACCCCTCTGGGCTTAAACAAGAAGAATTTGGGGGCACAAAGGTGTTTGCATGCGAGAGGGAGCCAGCGAACGCAGGCTGTGCTCAACTTTCTCCCTATGTATCAGCTGGAGGGGCTTGTTTTTAATGCGGTGTTTTCATTTTTCCTCCAGATGATCATTCCAGGGTTCACCTGACTCCTGTCGAAGGGGTTCCTGACTCCGACTACATCAACGCCTCCTTCATTAATGTGAGTTTTGTGATTGGAAGGGGAAATCCCCGTTGGCTATACCCCACCAAGCGCTGCCTGCTCCCACCAGCAGCGTGGGGCTTGTGCAGGGTGTGACTTGTGCCTGGGATGGACGGTTTAGAGACTACCTCCTGCTTTAACATCTCCCCAGTACCTCCAAAAGCAATAAATTACTCTGGTTTTTGATCTCATAACCTCTGTGTGGCCGTGGTAGAGCTCACTGTGCTCCGCTTCGTGTCATGAGCCCAGACAAACACGATTGGAATAAGGCTGAGGGCTGGGACTCATAAGTTTTTTGCCTTTGCTCAGCTATTTTGCCATAGTTTCCACCTCTCTTTTCTACACTTACGCTCCTTAGGGTGCTGCAAAGCTCTGCTGGCTGGTTTGGAAGGGCTTTGGGAGCCGTTCCTGCAGGAATTGGGGATTTCTGATTATCGACTGAGGAGTGGTGTGGCTGGTTAATCATCAGTACTTTCCGGCTTGCAGGGCTGGACGTGGGAAGGGGATGAAAAATTAATCAAGCAACCCAGCTAGAATAGAAACAACATCACCCTGCTCTGCTCCTCGGGGGAGATGGGTCCTGTATGATTATCATCTTATAGCTCAAATAAATTGAGAAGGGTGATACAAAGAAGTAGAATTTGAGCAAGACAGAGGCACGTGAAGAGAAGCAAGACCCAAAAGAGCTTTTTACTCCCTTCACCAATAAACAAATACCCGCGAGGAAATACACAAAAGCAACCCCCACGAGTTCAACAGCCCTGTCTCCCAAAGATTAATCCTGATTTTCACATGATGCAGGGTCTGATCCCAGCGCAAGGGCCGTCGGATGCTGCTTCTTCCGTGCTCCGTGCCAACAAGTGGGGTCGTTCCCACATTACATGAGCTTGGGGAGTGTTCCTCTGGGTCAGGGACTCTTTGCACAGGGATTTTCTATTATTTCTACCCCACTGTTGGTGCCGTTTCTCCCCTTGGAGGCTGCAGCACGGCGGGGAGTGAGCAACAGAGCAGGTGATGCCGTGGTTTATTAACGGTGCAGATGTGTTTCATGACTCCCGTGTTGTTAGAAAAATACTCATCTTCTGTTTGTTTTCCTTTTTCTCTATAGGGGTACCAAGAGAAAAACAAGTTCATTGCTGCACAAGGTAAATGCTGGGTTATTCCTGTAGCTTAGTCTGGTGGTGGTGAGGCTGAGATCCTTCTGCTCCGCGAAGCTGTGCTAGTCCTGTGCTCGGCAGCAGGAAGCTGAGCTCTCCTGATCAAAAGAAGGCTTGAAAATGGTTTTCCCAGTCAAAGACTGATGCTGGATATGTTGGGGCAGGAGGAGGAGAAGCCCTCCCATTTGCAACAGCGATTGCTGGGGGCTGTCAGGGCGTTTCTACCCTGAGTCTTGTCCTTCCACCCTGGCCCACAACTGCAGGTGGTCATGATCTCTGGAAGTACTCCATGTTAATTAAATTCCCCAGATCTGTTATTGCGGAGAGCACTGTGCTGGTCTGGTCTCATTTATCCTCCTTCTTAAACCTCGGCAGACAAGAATGTGGGCTTGTGCTGTTGAAATTTTGCTGTGGCCTTCAGAGGGGAGGCATGAGCTGGTGAGAGCAGCGAGCATCCTGAGTCTCCCCAAGCTCAGTTGCCACCATCCAGAGCATCACCAGCTTTCTTGCACCATCCATAGCTGGTCCAAACACATCCCTAAAACCAAGATGCCCACTTGCGAGGAGGTTCATGCCAGCCAAAGGAGGTTGTCTGACCATGGGAGGTGGTTTTGTGTTTCTTCTCTTGACTTGCAAGTGGGTTAGGACATCCCCTGCCAGTTTGTCTGGCGCTTGCTGCACGGGGAAGGCTGGGTCGGGTCTGGCAGCAGCACCAGGCTGGGCTAAAGCGCTGGCTCTGCTGTTCTCTTGGGCTGGTCTAGGTTGAGTGAGCTCCTTATCTGGCAGGCAGCAGGAAACTGTTCTTGTGCGATGTTGGAATGGGATCCCCTGATTAAAACACAAAGCTTAGTGACGAGACTTCTACCAGGTACCTGCAATGGCCACAATTTGCCCGCGTGACCTTGAGCAAGTCATTTCCATGCTCCGTTTGTCCAGTTTCTTCTTTCTGGGCTAAAAATGGAATTCCTCATCATGAAACGTATCCAAAAAGCCCAGCTCTTCTGTGATAGGATTGTTCCTTGCATTAACCAACATTCTCAGACACCAAAACGCCTCCTGTGCTGACATCTATTGGCAAAAACGTGTTGCATCATCCACGACGCGTGACTTCACACGCTGGGGTTCAGTCTCAGGACCTGAGGGGTTGATTCCCAAAGACCATATTTCCTTTTGCTTTCCCCTTAGGACCAAAAGAAGAAACAGTGAACGATTTTTGGAGGATGATTTGGGAGCAAAACACAGCGACAATTGTCATGGTGACCAACTTGAAAGAGAGGAAAGAGGTGGGTGCTGGAAGGCTTCATGGGCTGGTATCCTACCCAACTTCATCCAAATCCAGCACATCTCCTGCCCATGGGCATGTCTTGGAGATGGTCCCAGCCTTGCATGGGACCAGAGCTCACCTGTGTCCTTTTTCTCTCCCCACAGTGCAAGTGTGCTCAGTACTGGCCAGATCAGGGCTGCTGGACATACGGGAACATCCGAGTGTCCGTGGAGGATGTGACCGTCCTGGTGGATTACACCGTGCGGAAGTTCTGCATCCAGCAGGTGCCAGGGCTTGGGTCTCCCATCCCATCCCATCCCATCCCATCCCATCCCATCCCATCCCATCCCATCCCATCCC